GAAGGGAAACTTTCGCGAAGTGGGCTCTCCAAGGGGGTACGTCCGAAGGGGGCTTCTCGAGCGGGTACTTTCGTGAAGCAGGCTTTCCGAAGGGGAACTTTCGTGGGGTGACTTTCCGAAGGGGTACACCCGAACTATGGTCACGGTGGATCTGGAGCTTTGGCCCAGATGGGCGAGGGAGGCTACTTTCGACACTGAGAGTTCGAGCACGGTCCCTTAGGATCGACGTGCACGGTACAGGCGACACCCAATCGGGAGGAGGATTAGGTGACGTTTGTTGACTAGGTCCGTAGGGACTCAGACGGACTTCCCAGACACAGGAGTGAGGTGTACGGCTGAGGCCGGAACGAGTGTTTCACATCCCATTGTTTTGGACTGAATGCAACTACTTCTTTTATTTCTGCCAGACAGTGTTTCATGAGTGCCTTCTCGCATTGGTCACGGTCGGCTACGGTACTTGTATTTGTTGATGTGGACTGACATGTTTTGTGCAGGTTACAGGAGCCCCGACCGACCCTCCCGCGGGTGACAGACGCGGCGTGAGGCATAGGGTTCGGACGGCGTGCTCGCAGACCCCTTCTATCGGTCGACAGTGGCACCGTTGCCGGGGAAGGCTGCCTCTCGGGACTTCGGTCCGCCTGTAACCGCGGGGACGTGAGAGGATCAGGAAAGGAGTATGACTAGAGCGGGGCAGACGGAGAAGGCTAAGCAGTTGGCCAGTGGTTTGAATGCCCAAGTGAGACGTTGGACAGTACGGGCAGGAGCGGGCAGACGACACCCTCATCGACCTCTGATCGACGTTCACCGGTGAGATTGTGATTTTTGCATTTCGTGGTTTCGTTGATTCCTGCTTTCTTCTCGTCTTTCATGCATTTCATTCCTGTTGCCTTCCTTGTCATCGAGGGATGTCATTCTGATTTTCCCTACCCTTTGGTCAGTCCACCCAGATACTGAATCTAAGAAAGAGAATCGTGAGCAGGAGACGACTTGAAGGAACTGAAGGGGAGGGGAGAAACGCCCTAGATTTGCAAGGAGTTGGGCAGGGACTAGACAGGCTAGTCGATTCTGATGGATAGCAGGGGGGAATGATTCACAGCACGAGTCAGGATGTGAAACCATGCCTGAGGTGGGCCGAGTAGAGGCATGGATAGGAGTAAGGATCACGAGTGAGACACCGCCTCCCTATTCGCGTGTGACTTCGGTCCACCCTAGAGCACATGAGTTTGTCGGCTCGTGCTCAGGTCGGGACAGGGAAGGTAGGCCAGCGACGATGGCACATTGATCAGACCTCCTTCTTAACACGAGTGTAGGGAGAGATACGCCAGAGGGCGGTTCTCTTCTAGGCCTGTTGATGTCTTGAAGGGATACAGGGTGATCAGAGGAGGCCTGTCGTGGGGGTCTGTGAGCTCAACAGTCTGAGAGTGGCACAAGGAGTGACATACTAAGAGAAAACCGTTTTTTTTTAATTTGCTTAGGAATGGTTTACATCGAATCAGAGTCTCAAGTATATCTCGTTGAACGGAGCGGCTTCTGTGACCAGGGATGTCACGTGGGGACCCCCGGGGGCGAAGCCGGGGTGGTGGTTGCCCCCCCGGAGCCCCGGGTCTGGGGTCCCCGACCACCGCCACCGGCCCCAACACCCCCGCCACCGCCCGACCCCGGCGACCCCCGCC